TGTCTCTACTTTAAAGAGTCCTCTCCTGCTGATGTTCAGGTGTATATCAGTATGGTGTCTCACTTTAAAGAGTCCTCTCCTGCTGATGTTCAGGTGTATATCAGTATGTTGTCTCTACTTTAAAGAGTCCTCTCCTGCTGATGTTCAGGTGTATATCAGTATGTAGTGTCTCTACTTTAAAGAGTCTCTCCTGCTGATGTTCAGGTGTATATCAGTATGTAGTGTCTCTACTTTAAAGAGTCCTCTCCTGCTGATGTTCAGGTGTATATCAGTATGTAGTGTCTCTACTTTAAAGAGTCCTCTCCTGCTGATGTTCAGGTGTATATCAGTATGTAGTGTCTCTACTTTAAAGAGTCCTCTCCTGCTGATGTTCAGGTGTATATCAGTATGTAGTGTCTCACTTTAAAGAGTCCTCTCCTGCTGATGTCAGTATGTAGTGTCTCTACTTTAAAGAGTCCTCTCCTGCTGATGTTCAGGTGTATATCAGTATGTAGTGTCTCTACTGCAGTGGTTCTCAAACTTTTTCTGTCAGGCCCCCCCTTTGGAGAAAAAAAAAAGTCGGGCCCCCCCAACACAAATAGTCAGGCTCAGTGGAGGCGCCAGAGATTTATTTTGGGGTGCTGTGGGGTAGCTTGACGTTTCATAGAGGGTGCTCAAACATTTAGGGTTTCCCATTAATGTACCGGGCGCTACAGAGGAATGTTCTACTGCAACATTCCCCACGCAGATACACAGAGTGACTGTTACAATGAAGGCTCGATAATCAGCTCACGGCATATAGGTGTAAGCAGGGGTAAAGTGCTATTTTTATAGGTGGTGTGTGGACCTCACATAGGGGGTCCGGGGGCAAGGTCCCCCGGGAAGATTTTTAAATATTGAAGTTAAAAGCATCAATCTGGTGCACTTTGAGAGCAACATGAAGAGATCTATGGACATCTCTCAACACCCATTTGAAACAGAACTGGAAACAGATTTACTATTTCTTTATGGATATTTTACAAATCACTCCCCTTTTAAACTTTATTCTTTTTTTACTGTCATATAGTATTTCATACCTGTTTTTAATTTATTCTCTTATTTTTTTATAACTATAATGATCATATAAACGTGTGCCTCGGAAATAATTGTTTACATTTATGGTGACCAAAACGTTTGAGACCCACTGAGATAACACTGAGAGTCCTTTAGTTCACTGAGTCTCTCTGTCTGACAGGAGAGGACTCTCCTGCACTTTATTGTTGAAAAAACTCCTTACAGTATATCCGTTAGCGTAGCTCGCTAGCACCAGAAGCTAACAACCGTTACGAATACGGGTCCGTACCGTGCGCTCTCTCTCTCTCTATGAGTGCATGCACACAAATGGCTCGCTCCACACACACACACACACCACACACACACACACACAACCCACACACACACACACACACCACCACACACACACAACACACACACACACACCACACACACACACACACACAAAGAGCCGAGCTTTAATGAAACACAGAGAACCAGACCGTAATAGTACTTGTATTATATTATTTTCAATCAATAATTTTTCAAAATATGATTATTATTTTTTTATCTTTTTTTTTTTTTTTAATAACCATTTCCCCCCCTGGTCTCTCGCGCCCCCCCTGTCATGCCTCTGCGCCCCCCCCTGGGGGAACCAAACCCACTTTGAGAACCACTGCTCTACTGTGACATGTCTGTCTCTGATTGGTTAGCTGGCTGGCTCTGTTGTTATTGGTCAACATCTTAGAGATGTCCCCCTCATGGAATCATGTTTTTAATATTGCTTTTTTTAAATCTAATTGTTTTCCACAATCACATCTTAAATTGACCCGATGAATAGGGTCATAATAACCGTGCATTAACTCTGGTGTCAGTGTGCAGAGCCTCTGTGGTTGAGATGGGGATGCTGGTTCCGCTCCTGGATCTGATCCGGTCCGGAGACTCCAGCGCTCAGAGCCACTCCTGCGCCTGCGTCTGCCTCCTCGCTCCTCAGGTGGGTGCAGAAGGATTTAAGGTCTTTAACTTGTTTAATAATTATTATTCTCTCGGTGTCTGGCTGTTACATATTTGTACAGATATCTTTATTGTGGGAAGCAGTATTTCAATCTCTCTGTCTGTACACACAAACTGAAAGATTGACAATAAAGTTCACTTTTTTTTGGTGCAGAGGTCGAACAGAGAGGCTGTCATGTTGGAGGGAGTGAAGCCTCTGCTGGCTTTAGCCAAATCCTACGACCCTCGAGAGCAGCAGGTGGCCTCCTGGGCTCTGCTGCACCTCACACACTCAGGTGGGTCACTTCCTTTAAAGGTCCCCTCTTATACTGTTTTTTCATCAATATATTATAGGTCTCAGATATATACAGAAGCCTGTCTCTGATTGGCTGAAACACCAAACAGATCATTGTCGCATTACCCTAATCCCCTCTGTTTCAAAAGTGCTGATTCTCTGTCCTGTTACTGTCAGATGAAATAAGGAGCCCCTCCCCACGCCCCTCTGAGAGACATTTGGTTACAAAGAAACTCAATGGTGCTCTAGGAGGAGATGCAGGTGATAAGGTGGGGGGGGGGGGGGGGGGGGGGGGGGATTACCTTGGTTGCTGATTGGCTAATGGTTACACAAGACCAAACATCGTTATGACATCATAAAGTGGCCAAATCTGATCAGCTCATTTTCAGACAGGTTTTATAGAAATGGATCAAAAAGAGAGAGAATCTTTGTTCCTGAAACTTTTCAGAGTCTCTTTCCACAGAGGGGGACACTGTTGATGTAGAAGAGACATGAAGAAGAAGGGGACACATGTTGATGTGAAGAGACATGAAGAAGAGGGGACACATGTTTGATGTAAAGAGACTGAAGAAAGAGGGGACACATGTTGATGTGAGGAGACATGAAGAAGAGGGGACACATGTTGATGTAGAAGAGACATGAAGAAGAGGGGACACATGTTGATGTGGAAGAGACATGAAGAAGAGGGGACACATGTTGATGTAGAAAGAGACATGAAGAAGAGGGGACACATGTTGATGTAGAAGAGACATGAGAAGGACACATGTTGATGAAGAAGAGACAGAAGAAAGGGGACACATGTTGATGTAGAGAGAGACATGAAGAAGAGGGGACACATGTTGATGTAGAAGAGACATGAAGAAGAGGGGACACATGTTGATGTAGAAGAGACATGAAGAGATGGACACATGTTGATGTAAAGAGACATGAAGAAGAGGGGACACATGTTGATGTAGAAGAGACATGAAGAAGAGGGGACACATGTTGATGTAGAAGATACATGGAGAAGAGGGGACACATGTTGATGAAGAAACATAAGAAGAGGGGACACATGTTGATGTAGAAGAGACATGAAGAAGAGGGGACACATGTTGATGTAGAAGAGACATGAAGAAGAGGGGACACATGTTGATGTAGAAGAGACATGAAGAAGAGGGGACACATGTTGATGTAGAAGAGACAGAAGAAGAGAGGACACATGTTGATGTAGAAGAGACATGAAAGAGGGGACACATGTTGATGTAGAAGAGACATGAAGAAGAGGGGACACATGTTGATGTAGAAGAGACATGAAGAAGAGGGACACATGTGATGTAGAAGAGACATGAAGAGAGGACACATGTTGATGTTAGAAGGACATGAAGAAGAGGAGACAACATGTGATGTAGAAGAGACATGAGAAGAGGGGACACATGTTGATGTAGAAGAGACATGAAGAAGAGGGGACACATGTTTGATGTAGAGAGACATGAAGAAGAGGGGACACATGTTGATGTAGAAGAGACATGAAGAAGAGGGGACACATGTTGATGTAGAAGAGACATGAAGAAGAGAGGACACATGTTGATGTAGAAGAGACATGAAGAAGAGGATTTTGCATAATAGGTGACCTTTTAATCCTCACAGATTGAACAAAAGCAGATGTGTTTTTCTGTTGTTGCTCCTCTCTCTCTCTCTTCCTCAGATTGGTCCAGGAGGCTGCTGGGTGATGCGGGGGGGTTCCCGGTTCTGGTTCTGCTGCTGCAGGGCTCAGACTCAGAGGTCCAGTTCTACAGCTGCTCCGCCCTCTGCAACATCTCTTCTGCTCGGGAGCTCCACCGGAAGCTGCTGAGCATCGGGAGTCACTTCCTGTTGAAGTCCCTGCTGACGCTCGCCTCCTCCTCCGTGCAAAAGGTAACGTTGAGTTTCTCCTTCCTGATTACAATTGGCAAGTCTTATCTATATCTGTAAATGATATACTATCATATGTATATACAGTATATTATAAGCCTATATTCCTGCTACTGCAACATGTTTATAAATGGTGTTTTGTTGTTGTTTAGAAGTCGATGCAGGCGTGCAGATGCCTTCAGACTCTCTCACAGAATGGTACATATGTTCCCATTACACTTTGCTGATGCTTTTACCATTTAAATAACAATAAGTGCATGTAACCATGAAGATGCAAACTCAAAAAGTGTCTATACTAGATGTGAGAAAATGAATATAAATACATTTTTACCACTGAAGATAGTACTTTTTAACTAAAGTAACTTTTTTAATTTCCCATAATATGTGTATTTAGCGTGGACTGTGTGTTGTTGTGTGAAGTGTTTTTCCAGCAAGGCAAGTTTATTTATAAAGCACCTTTCAACACAAGGCAATTCAAAGCGCCCTCCAAAAAAACAAAACAAGCTAATATAGAATAACACAGATATTAAATACATGGATACAAGTTACAGTGCAGTGTAAGATATGAATAGTTCAATTATAAGCAGCGTCAAAAAGAAAAGTCTTCATCCTTGATTTAAAAGTACTCAGTGTTTCAGCAGACCTGCAGGTTTCTGGGAGTTTGTTCCAGATATTTGGAGCATAATAACTGAACTCCTCCATGTTTGGTTCTGACTCTGGGGACAGAAAAGTGCACCGTACTTTAACAACAAACTCCTCCTAGGGATTTTATCCAATCGTCTTCAAATCTTGACAGTAGCATCTCAAGACCTGGCAGATGAAAAGTTAGTGGCGCCCATTTTGACTCTCGCCTGATGGCTATGTGATCCCTTTCCATGGAAGGTGATTATCTCCTAACGCCAGCTGACAGGCTCCAAACGGCCCAAACGTCACATGATGGTTAATGCTTCGGCCCCGAACAGCTCATCTCCAAATCTGAGGGGCCGAAACACGATATTGCTGTGACACCAATGGTGTCAACAGTCTTTACGTTTGGTGTCAATGATGATGAAGTCCAAGCTCTGTAACATGAATGGCATGTCCCCCAAAGAGTTTATGGAAATCAGAAACAGTCATAATTGTCTATGATAAACTGTGTAGCCATAATAGAGGCACTCAGAGACTTAATGTCCCCTTTAAACCCACCGTATGTAATCCCACAGCCGTGACCGCATACAATAATGTACTGTATTATAAACACTTTGTAATCTAGAGCCTTGGCTATTAATCATAAGATTATAATATCATATTTTCCAGTGTTCCCTAAGTGATATACTTAAGTATAACATAAAAGTACTTCAGTATTTCCATCTTATTCATCTTTATACTTTTCTAAATCACTTAATCTCACAGGTCAATATTTTACTTTTTACTCAGTTACGTTTTTCTTACAGCTTTAGTGACTTCTTTTAGATATACTGTACACTTTGTACTAACCATAACCGTAACCCTATCATACCATAATTAGGTGATTTTAAATGTGAGTTTTCATTAACTTGTGTCCGTTAATGGGTTTAGAAATCTTCCTACTTCTCAAGATAAATAAACTATTTGTTAGTGAAACCCTGACAGCGAGGATTTTTTACCAAAGTTTCGCAGATAATAATTACGCATTTCTATTTAAGTGAGGTTTTAAATGTTTGTGTTGTTGAATTAAAAGCACATCACATAAGGCATATATACATTTTCAGTTTTTATTTGACTCTATTGAGGTGAGTGGCACCATGTTTCAGTCAATACAATTACATGTTCCGCTCTTCACCTACACATTCTGAGTATTACAGTCCCAGAATATTTGACCAGCTTCTATGAACACATTTAAAAAATATAAACATATATAATGGAATTGAATGTGTACAGTGAGACAAATATAAAAACACCATTTTATATTTCATACCATGGGTTGTTTTATTTATGAAAGTGTTGATTAAACATACAATGGATAAATAGAAGTACTTTAGTAACCAAAATGTGATACAGTAAATCATGTATACTGTATATGTTTACACAGTGAGGCACACGCGTACAAAAATAGATTTGAATTTTTATTTTATTTTTAAATCAAATCTTTCTAATCCTAATTTTAATCCTAATTGTATCAGGAAAATTAGTTGCGGGCGAACCTGAGCTCCAGGAGAAACCCCAAAAGTGGAAGCGGGGTACGGTGGCCCTGAAGTGCAAGTCAAAACAACATTTCACAAAACACTTCAACATTTCACATTTTACGGAAAGGGTATTCCTTTAGGGAGAACACTTCTTGTTTGTGATTGGACAGAGCCAGCCAGAGAAGAACTGCTGTGATTGGTTGTTTTTGCTGCCAGTCAAGAAATGACGCTTCGTGATTGGTCAGCACCCGGCCGACAGCACCACGTATTTCCTGTTTGGTACTGTTCAGCTGTTTCTTCACGAATTGTAAACTGAGTTGGAAAGAATGGAAGAAGAGATGGAACGAAGGATATACATACGATGTTATCCTCGACATGCTGTCAACCCATCACGACATCTACATGTCCCTTAGAACCAGGGGTGTAGTGCTGCCGGATCGCCGCTCCGGTTGTTAGCATCTGGTTAGCTAGCTATGCCAACGTACATAAGGAGTTGTTTCTACAACAAGGTGTAGGAGAGTCCTCTCCTGTCAGACTGAGAGGATCTTATAACTACAGCTCAGTAATAATAATAATAATAATATTAATAATAATAATACATTTGATTTATATAGCACACTTTAAACATAAAAGGATCAAATAAATAAAGTCAGTGAGGTGTCCTCAGTCCTAACTCTTTAAACCGCGCTTTCAGGGTTCTAAGCAGGGGTGTAGTGCTATTTTTATAATTGCAGGAGCGCACCTAGACCAACAGATCAGCAACATATGGACATAGGTTACTATATCAAAAGTGTGCAAATGTATTTAGAATCCTGTCCATGTGACCCTTTTGTTAGTGGGTGGTGGACCTCACATCCTCTAGGGGGGGTCCGGGGGCATGCTCCCCCGGGAATATGATTTTTTAAAAGTTAAAGTTAAATTCAATCTGGTGCACTTTGAGAGCAAAGTTAGGGACTACATCTATGGATACATCTCTCAACAACACCCATGTGAAACAGTACTGTAACCAGAAGTACTTTTTCTTTAAGCATATCTTACTAATCACTCCCCTTTTAAACTGTATTTTAGTTTTACTGTCCTATAGAATGAGTTGGAATTATTTCATACCTATTTATTCTCTTATTTTTTATAATGATAATAAAAAGGTGTGCTTTGGAAATACTTGTTTACATAAATGGTGACCAAACCGTTTGAGACCCACTGAGATAGCTTAGACTAAAGTTATCTATCTAAACACTCAGAGAGTCCTTTAGCTCACTGAGCTGTAGTTATAAGATCCTCTCAGTCTGACAGGAGAGGACTCTCCTCCACCTTGTTGTAGAAACAACTGCTTATGTACGTTAGCATAGCTAGCTAACCAGATGCTAACAACCGGTAAAGCGGTGCTCCGGCAGCTGTGACTACCTGATTTGCATCTCTGCCCGATTTGCATTGCGCAAGCGCGAGATGGTCCGCTATATTAGACAGCTACATACGGCAACCCAAATAGGACCTTTGTTTCGCAAAGCAGACGTTTTTCTTCCAAAAAACCCGACAACATTAATCTGAACGAGAGAGAGAGTTATTGTTATTACAACGTGACTTCACTATTATTTAACAAATACTTTTATTGGGTTGATTACATTCTTAGAATAAGTGAGAAATTGATTTATCTTCTGTTAGACAGTTATCATACTGAAGACATATTTACTGTGAATGTATGCAAAAATGTTTGGCATTAATAATTTATATGTAATTACATTAACTATGAATGTTAACATTTTATTTCAAATTAAATACAATTACATAAAAGATTTTCCATTTAAAAAAAAAAAGTTGATTCAAGAACACATCTCTGTTAGATCAGTAGTTTTCTTATATTACAATTATTGCTAAATTTGAAAGGTCTTTACCAGCTTTGGAATTATATATATATATCGTTGAGATTAATGTTGTCAAGTTTTTTTAGTTTTCTTTTTCTGCTTTGCCAAACGCCACTGTCAAGTGTCCTATTTGGGTTGCCGTATGTAGCTGTCCAATATGGCGGACCATCTCGCGCTTGCGCAATGCAAATCGGGCAAAGATGCAAATGGGGTAGTCACAAGCACTACACCCCTGGTTCTAAGGGACATGTAGATGTCGTGATGGGTTGACAGCATGTCGAGGATAACATCGTATGTATATCCTTCGTTCCATCTCTTCTTCCATTCTTTCCAACTCAGTTTACAATTCGTGAAGAAACAGCTGACCAGTACCAAACAGGAAATACGTGGTGCTGTCGGCCGGGTGCTGACCAATCACGAAGCGTCATTTCTTGACTGGCAGCAAAAACATCCAATCACAGCAGTGCTTCTCTGGCTGGCTCTGTCCAATCACAAACAACAAGTGTTCTCCTTAAAGGAATACCCGTTCTGTAAAATGTGAAATGCTGTAGTGTTTTCTGAAATGTTGTTTCGACTTGCACTTCAGGAACACTGTATGCGGGGGAAGATCCAACAATACATTACATTTATATAGCGCTTTTCTTGAATTCAAAGACGCTTTGGAGGGTGGAGTGAGGTGAGGGAAATGGAGGAGGGACTTATTGTTGATGTGTTTTTTTTAATCCTTATTAATATGGATTTCTGGAAAACCTGAGCTCCAGGAGAAAACCCTATCTGAGCAAAAAGTGAAGGAGGGGGTGAGGAAGGAGGTGAGGGAAATGGAGGCAGGGAGTTACTGTTGTCCAGCTGGAGCTGAATCACCAGAAGCTTTCTCCATCTTCTCTGAGGAGGTGTTTCTCGTGCCTTTGGCTTTCTTCCTCATCTCCTTCTCTTGCATCTTGCTTATCATTTTCTGCAAGGCAACGTCTCTATCCTCAGTCTCCCCCCTTCTGTGAGAGAAGAAACCTCTGCTCTTATTCTTCATGTGAAGACAGAGGTCTTCCAGAAGTTTCTTTTCCTCCTCCATCTTTTTCTCAGTCGTTGCCCAGCTCAGTCTTCTATGAGCCAGGTCGTCCCTCTGCTCCTCCACCTGTTTCAGTTGTGTCTCCGTCAGATGAAGCTTGGTCTCCATGCTCTGGTGTTTCTGGGCCAGGTCTTTGGAGAGCTTCTTCTTCTGCTCTTCCAATTGGTTTTCCAACTGCTTGACATCCGTCTCCTTGCTTTGGACAAACTGCTCCCAGTTCAGCTGTTTTTCAGCCAGGTCTTTGGAGAACTTCTCCTCCTGCTCTCTCATCTGTTCTTTCAGCTGTTTGACGGCCGTCTCCCAGCCCAGGTTATTCTCGGCCAGGCGATCTTTCTCCTTTTCCACCTGCTTTAATTTAGCCTCCACCTGTTTGAACTCAGTCTCCAAGGTCAGGGTTACCTTGGCCATGTCGTTATTTTCCTGAGTCACCTCATTTAGTGTTGTCTCCATCTGTTGCTTCTCAGTCTCCCAGGTGTGACTCTTATCGGCCAGGTCTTTAGAGAACTCTTCCTCTTGCCTTTTCAACTGGGCCTCCATCTGTAGGAATTCCGTCTCCAAGGTCTTGTTTCTACTGGCCTGGTAATTGTTCTTCTTCTCCACCTCTTTCAACTTCATCACCATCTCTTGCTTCTCACTCTCCCAGGTGAGAGTCTTTTCGGCCAGGCTCTTGGTGACCTTTTCCTCGCATTGAAGGAGTTGTTCCTCTCTTCTCTGCAGCAGGTTTAAAGTCACCAGGTTGGCCTCGCTGTGTTGGTCTGAGAGCTTCTGTTTCTGTGTCTCATACCATGCCACTGTGTCTTCCAGCTGCTCTTTGTGTTGAAGCTCTGCAGCTTCCATCTTCTCCTCCAGACCGCTGTTTCTATCCTCCAAGATGGTCACACACTCAAGGAGTTCTTCCCCTTTTCTTATCAGCTCTTTCATGGTCTCCCCTTTCCTCATCCTCAGTTTGATGATCTCTGGGTCACACTGCAGGGGAACATCATTGTTCTCGCTGTCAGATGTCGCCTGGTCCTTCTCGTCCGAGACATTTCCTTTCTCTGCCTCATGCCTTGCCACAATTTGGTCCAGCTGCCTCTTGTGTTGGCATTCTGCATTTTCAATATTCCCATTCAGACGTGAGATTTCTGCCTCATGCTCCATGATGGTGTCAACCAGCCTTTTGTTCTCTTTGTGGAGCCCTGAGTCCCTGTAGCTCAGGAGCTCCTCGAGACGTTTGACCTTGTCTTTTTGTTTGCGCATACTGTGGCAAAATGTTGTCCTCTCGTCCTGAAATGCCCCACGATACTCCTCCAGGCCGTTTATCTGGCCGTTTCTGCAGTGGACCTGCCTGTAAGCTCGATCCGCTTCAGCTCCATGGTCGAATGGCCTGGGGTTTCCCCTGTTGTTCTGGTGGCTTCTTCTATCCATGGCACCGTCTGTAGACTTGTGTTGTGCGTAGGTAGAATAATATATTTCTCTTTGGAAGAAGTGTTCTGTGTAGAAGTCTGCGAAGGTGGTCTGAATGCGTGTCACCACTTACAGCTCTGGAGTGAAGAGTGTGGAGTGAATGCACATCACAGCCCTTGCAGTCTTCCTTCAGACTCCTGTGACATCATCATGACATCACAGATCTCTTTGATCTTCTGTGACATCATCATGACATCACAGATCTCTTTGATCTTCTGTGACATCATCATGACATCACAGATCTCTTTGATCTTCTGTGACGGAACATTCATCAAAGCCAATGATGTCATCGCTTCAGTGTGTCAGGATGTCATAAGTGATGTCACTGAAATAGTTTGGTTTAGACTTATGGTGTTGCCATGGAAACACAAACTCGCAATAATCATTATAAAAACAGAAACAGTACAAACTAAACAAAACAATAAACAACAATAAAACCCGATGTTGTCACAAGTCAAAAGTACATAGTCCAAACGTCACATGATAGTTAACGCTCCGGCCCTGAACAGCTCTACGTCAAATCTGATCATCTCATCATATTGCCATGGAAAGACGAACTCGCCATGAAGCACGATGTCGACGTAACTCAATGGTAAATGGTCCAAACACCACCAAACTTCAGATGGCCGTTAATGTTAGAGCCCTCAACTCCTCTCTGATAACGAGGCAGCCCTCCAGACATCTGAGCCAATTGTGAGTCTTCACCGCACGCCGTAGCCGTGATGTGGCGCCCATTTGGAGGCTCGCTTGAAGGCTATGTGATGGAGCTGGACTGTGTGTTGTTGTGCGTAGATCTGATCCAGGAGCAGCTGATGGAGCTGGACTTTGTGTTGTTGTGCGTAGATCTGATCCAGGAGCAGCTGATGGATCCGGACTGTGTGTTGTTGTGTGTAGATCTGATCCAGGAGCAGCTGATGGATCCGGACTGTGTGTTGTGCGTAGATCTGATCCAGGAGCAGCTGATGGAGCTGGACTGTGTGTTGTTGGATGTAGATCTGATCCAGGAGCAGCTGATGGAGCTGGACTGTGTGTTGTTGTGTGTAGATCTGATCCAGGAGCAGCTGATGGAGCTGGACTGTGTGTTGTTGTGTGTAGATCTGATCCAGGAGCAGCTGATGGAGCTGGACTGTGTGTTGCCTCTGCAGCCCCTGCTGAAGACATCCTCTGCTGAGTGGAGAGAGTCGGCCGTCACACTGCTGTCTGCGCTGACTTCACACACACCGAACAAAGTGAGGTTTCCTCCACAGCGGGATCATTATAATATTCATTGTTAAACATTAGTGGTTAGATCATGGTGTAGGAGCCAATTAACACGGTCACTATAAAGGTACGAACCTATGTTTGTGGTTAGAGGTTCCGCCGGAAGGCCATACAGTTTTTGACCACACACGGAGAACACACACACACACACACACGGAGAACACACACACACACACACACGGAGAACACACACACACACTGAGAACTCACACACACGCGGACCACACACACACACACGGAATTACAAACATGGAAAAGGTATTGTGTGAACCGTAATATCGTGTACGGTGAATGAGAGAAAGAAGCAAGTTAAATGGAAACCAGTGAAAGGAAATGCATGGACTGTATCGAACTGGAAACTTTGTTTCAGACTTTTATTCAGCAGCAAACTTTGTGTCAATTGCGCAACATAGCGGATCCTCAGAGGCTGAAAGCGTTGGCTTGGCCTCTACACACGCATGTGGTTACGACCATAGACTGTATATATAAATGGACGTAGTGTCCGTGACGTCACCCATAGGATTCTGCAGAGTTGCCGAGAAGCCCTTAGTAGGCGGAGTCGGCCACTAACGGCTCGACAGTGACGTCAGAGTCTAATCCCGCCTTCTCCAAATAAGGGCAAAGAGGCGGAGCCGAGGCGGGACCTGCTGCCTCCGAACTGGAAGTAAACAGAGCTAGCTCAGGCTAAGAAGCTAAGCTAACATGCATACCAAGTTACTGCTAACAGTGTAGTTCCCCTATATAAACGTTACCTTCATAATCAAATGAGACAATCTGCAAGAGAATTAGCTCTATTTTGTTATTCTTAATGCTTGTCATTCACACGTTGAGAAAAGACGGACTCCACCGCCCGGACCTAACGGAGCCGAAGTGGGCTAGCTCCGGGACGCCGGCTGGAGCTAGCCCCCTGCGGCTCCGTTAGCTCCAGCGGCCACCACTGGGATAATTGGGTCCCCTATAAACATTTGCTCCCGTTTAGCATTATGGGCGTCATAGCCATCGACTATAAAAGTCTTACCCAAGGCTGAATCATAAACTAAAATGTATATGTATGCATAAAGTGTTACGTCCTTAGCTGGCTAATAAGTAACAAGCTAAGCTACCAAGCACACAAACACCTGCGAACGGGGTTAACATGTATAATATTATCATTTTAGACTTCTTGGAAGTTCTGTTAGTACATTCAAGCGCACAGCATGACATTTTAATTGTCTGGTATTTGTAACAATATTCCCTAAAAAGCACAATCACCACGAACACGGCTAAAGCTAAAGGGTCAAGTACAGTACTATGACTAACTAACGTTGTAGCCTCTATGGTTGTAGCCTAGCAGAGTGGACAAGTTGCTGTTAGCTGACAGTGAGGCATGTACGTGTCCATCAAAGTGACCGCGCCCTAATTTATGCAAACACTTTAAGAGCTAATATAAATAAAAGGGTCGTGTTAGAAAACAATTCACTCACAGATTCATAATCATGAAGGTGGAATCTAACTATATCGATAATAATATTTATTGCATCCATGGGTAGAAACATGTTTTTTTCTGCTGTAAAGTTGAGCATTTTATCATGGGGGTCTATGGAAATGGCTCCTTTCTGCAGCCAGTCCCTAGTGGCCCATGTATGAACTGCAGTGTGTGGCACTTCCGTATTGGCGTCCCGGCTGTTCCCCAGAGTTTGCCGCTTAGCCTCTACACATGGATTAATAACGACACAATGGGCTTCAGACGTGAACGCCTCCTACCTAACAAGAGCCACAGATTCAACACGTTTATATGATGTCTTTGTCGATGTTTGGCGACTCCTTGTGGCGGTTTAGTGTCTCTTGTTTGTCATATTCTGTCTTTTCTGTTGTTTCTCTCTTTTTGGTCATTCTGCCTCTTTTTAGACTTCGTCTTTTTTGGTTGTGTTAATAGACATTTTTCGCCTCTTTGTGACTTCTCGTTGTTGTGTCTCATTTCGGTGGTTCTGCATCTCTTTGCAGTCGTTTTGTTTCTCTTGGACTTTTTAAATGTTGCATATCTTTGTAGAACATCGTCCTCTTAGAATCATATTCTCTATCGTTTGTTCTTTGATCTAGTTTTTGCATATTTTTTCGGCCATTCTGAATCTTTTTGTAGACATTTGTGTTTCCTATCATTTGTGTTGTCTTGTGCCTTGTTTCAGTCGCTGTAGTCATTCGGAGTGTCTGTTCTGCATCCAGACATGTGGTTTTCCTAATGAGTTGTGTCCCTTAGTGACTTACCAACAAGAAATGTGAGCAATAGCTTCAAGCAGAGGTCATTCCAAAGAACAAGGATATTTCTTTGCCGGACATTCCTTCCTTTTTCATGACCTTGAACTAGTAATCAGTCGATGTCCAATCAAAACCATTTGCTGCTCTGTCTTTATCCCAGGTTTGATAATATCTCCCTGGTTTGATTGCAGGCCGTCCTGGTGAGCGAGGGTCTGCTGGAGGAAGTGGGTCAGCTGCTTCTTCATCCCACATGCAGCTCCGTCATCATCACACACAGCTGCAGGATCATCACTGACCTGAGCAGCTGCAGCGAGGGTCAGCAGGTAAAACTCATGATTTAACGCCTGCAGTAAAAATACACAACGCGCCTGAGTATAATCCGTCTTTGTTATCCAGGCTGTGATGGAGGCTCGCTGTTTGTCAGGACTCCTCGGCGCTCTTCTGTCTCCGTCTCTGACTGATGACACTTTAATACATCTGACGTCATGCTTGCAAAACCTCATGACACAACGTGAGGGACCTGGACTCAAACTAGTATTGGTCTGTTCTGGTTAGCTCTTTCTATGTGGGATCAAACCCAAAGACATCCTTTATCTGTTTTGTAATCAGCCATAATCCTTCACTTTCTTCTTCAGATCCACTTCAGTCTGAGTTGTCGGTCATGATAACATCAGAGCACGTTTCCAGACTTGTGAAGTTATCGGGACGATCACAAAACCCTCAGTTATCGTACAACAGTGCGGCCGTCATCAGCAGACTGGAAATGACAGGTAATGTTCTGTGAAAGTATGACGACCTGATAGAAGTAAACAGATTGGTTTATGAAACGGTGTCTTCATACTCTTCATCCAGGAGAGACGCTCCAGCTGCTGAAGCCTCACTACGTCGCCATGTTGGAGTACCTGTCGGTGCTTCTCCAAAATAAAGATTTAAAGTTCCAGCAGCTTGGCTTAGTGACGATATCCAACCTCAAGACAGGTTTGTATTCGTTCTACCCTCGGGCGTCACTTTGTGTTGAAGTTCTTTTGGACTCTTTTGGACTCATGTGTTTTACTGTGTTCTAATCCTGGCTCCTTCTGGATGGTTTGCACTGTAGACATTCTGCATCCTTTTGTGGTCAATTTCTCTTTCATTTTTGGTGTTTTGTTCATTGTTTTGATCCTTTTTAGTAGTTTTGCATTTCTTTTTGGTCATTTTGCATCTCCTATTAGACTTTGTGTCTTTATGGTTATATCCGGTCTCTTTTTGGTTGCTTTACGCTTTGGCAGACGTTTTGCATCTCTCTTTGTTATTGTATTCCCTTTTCCTACTTCGGTCTTGTTTTGGCCTTTTTGGTAAACCGTTAAAGGTCCCAGGTCATGGCCATTTCTTCTGATCATAATTCCATTGTTGAGGTCTACTAGAATAGATTTAAACTCACATTGGTTTCTCATCCAGCGTCTCTGTAAAGTACACTGAACAAAAATATAAACGCAACACTTTTGTTTTTGCTCCCATTTCTCATGAGATGAACTCAAAGATCTAAAACATTTTCTATAAACACAAAATAACCATTTCTCTCAAATATTGTTCACAAATCTGAAGAAATCTGTGATAGTGAGCACTTCTCCTTTGCCGAGATAATCCATCCCACCTCACAGGTGTGGCATATCAAGATGCTGATTAGACAGCATGATTATTGCACAGGTGTGCCTTAGGCTGGCCACAATAGAAGGCCACTCTGAAACGTGCAGTTCTATTTCGTCCCTACTGACCACCAGAGGCGGTGCTTTAGCACTGGATGTGTCCATCGCGCGCATGCGCAGCTCGAGTACCAATACCAACAAAGTCACCTGTGACCCACGTGACACCGGCTATATCAGTCGGTGTCGTCAGTGGATCTGTTCCTTTCATCTTCTCGCTGCGCGAGAGTACCTTGGCTACATTTTTTGTAGCCTACAGCGTTCGTTCGGTTGGAATATTTGTTAAGGATTCTCTGCAAACAGCTGGCTGCGTGCAGCTTCGCGACTCATCCAGTCGGGGCCGCGGGTTTACCCGTCCTCCAGGAGCTGTGGCTGGCTGCGCAGAGACTTCGTTCGAACAGGTTGGTGTCGGCTTGGTTGGTGATGGCAGTGTTTTCGCTCCCTCTCCCAGCCTAGTTGTCCCGTTACTGTCTATTTAGCTTTTTGGGCTTGAACTTTTATGGTGACGGAGGTGTTTCCGCTCCCTCTCCCAGGAGTTGCCCTTGCTGTGCTTTTGTACTTATTCTGCAAACTTCATTAGCATTGAGCTAGTTAGCAGTAGCGCTGCAGGCCTGTGGTCAGGTGCCCTCAGCCTCAGTGCAGGGTCACAGATGGGCTGCTCTGTAGGGCCTACGACGCAGCAGCACGCATGGGTCGTATCGGGAACTCCCTCTCCCATCTAATGCTGGCCGTCTCCGCCTCGCTGCAGCAGGCTCCGGCCGAGCCTTCTTTGCTGGGCCTCAGTGATGCATCACTGCAGGCCTTTGCCCTAATGACTAGGGAATTGGGACGAGTTATGTCCTTTCTGGTACAGACTCGTCGCAAGGTTTGGCTGGCCCAGTCACCACTGACGGAGACATGTAGGAGAGTCCTCCGTAGCGTGCCAGTCGTGCCAGGGGAGCTGTTTGGGTCAGCTGCCCTGGAGGCGCTGGAGCGCGCTGCCCAAGCTAGGCAGACCAGGCAGCAGCTCTCGGGTCTTTGCAGACCCGTGGCCACTCCCAGCAGGCCCAGGGGCCGCTCTAGCAGCCACCGGCTTACAGGGGTGGTCTGCAGAGGTCCCAGCGGCCCACTCAACCGGCCGATGACTTTCGTGCCCCAGGTCGCCTGGCTTCCAGGCGGCCTCGTGCTTCAGAGCCTTACCGGCGCCCCCCAGGGGGGGCTAGGCCCTGAAGTCCCGAGGCCGGTCGTCGGCTGTTTTTCCCAGCAGCAGCTCAGCTACTGGGCTGCCTGTACTTCCGACCCTTGGGTGATTTCCACCCTAACCCAGGGCTACGAATTGCAGTTCCGACGCCGGCCCCTAGCCTTCGGCCGGGTCAGTATGACAGTTGTCAAAGACCCGGCGAAGGCCTTAGCTCTGGCCCAAGAGTTGTCCGTCCTCTTGGCCAAGGGCGCAATCGAGCCAGTGGACCCCCTGATTCAGGGCGGGGGGTTCTACTCGGCGTACTTTCTTGTGAGCAAGAAAGTTGGCGGATTCCGTCCAGTTCTGGACCTCAGAGGAATCAACAGATTCTTGAAGGTACTGCCCTTCCATATGCTAACCACAGCAGACACCCTTCGTGTTGTCACACAGGGGGAGTGGTTCACAACCGTGGACTTGAGGGACGCCTACTTCCACGTGCCAATTGCATCCCATCACCGGAAGTTCTTGAGGTTCGCCTTTCAGGGCCGACATTATCAGTTCCGGGTGCTTCCCTTTGGTCTCTCCCTCTCTCCAAGGGTGTTCACCAGGGTTGTAGCGGCAGCGCTCGCTCCCCTACAGGCACAGGGCATGAAGGTCCTGCCATATCTGGACGACTGGCTGGTTTGCGCGCCGTCCCGGGCCCAAGTGGCCCAGGATACGGCGCGCCTCTCATCCCATGTAGCCCGGTTGGGCCTAACAGTGAACGCCGGGAAGAGTTGCCTGGACCCTTCCCAACAGGTCACTTACCTGAGGATGGTCCTAGACTCGGTCGCCATGAGGGCCTACTTGACACCTCGTCGTGTGGACGACATTTCCCACCACCTTCGCATCTTCAGACTGGGCAAGAGGGTGCCTTACATCCAGTTCCTCCGGCTCTTAGGCAGACAGATAGCTGCCTCAGCCGTTGTGCCCTTGGGCCTGCTATCACTGCGCCCCATGCAGATGTGGCTGAACAACTTTCGCTTGGACGCCAAGCGGCACAGCACAAGAGAGTCAGGGTGTCTCAGCGGTGCCTCCACTCTCTGTCCCGCTGGAGGGACAGGGCCTATCTTCTGATGGGTGTGCCTATGGGCGCCATCCCATCCCGCCGGGAGACGGTCGCTGTGGATGCATGTCTCTCGGGGTGGGGTGCGGTGTGGCAGGGCAGGACTGTGCAGGGGCAGTGGTCTGCCCAGGAAGGTGCACACCATATCAATGTGCTGGAGCTGCGGGCTGTGTTGCTCGCACTCATGCACTTTTTACCCCAACTGGCGGGCAGGCATGTGCTCATTCGTTCGGACAACATGTCCGCCGTTGCCCAAATCAACCACCAGGGGGGCACCAGGTCCACACAGCTGCTCCGTGTTTCACAGAGCCTCTTGCCTTGGGCGCTCCCCCGCCTCGCCAGTCTGCAGGCAGTCTTTCTGCCAGGAGACCTGAATCAGGTCGCAGATTTCCTCTCACGGCGCAAGCCTCCACCGGGGGAGTGGAGGCTTCACCCAGAGGTGGTGGAGACAATTTGGAGCCTTTTCGGCAGGGCCGAGGTGGACCTCTTTGCCTCAGAAGAGTCGAGGCACTGCCCCCTCTGGTTCTCCTGGACGGAGGTGACCAGCCCGTTGGGTCAGGATGCCCTGGCGCACGACTGGCCGGACACTCTCCTGTATGCCTTCCCGGCGCTGCCTCTGATACTGCAGACGCTTCAGAGGGTCCTTACTCAGGGGCACAGGCTCCTTCTGGTCGCCCCCCGCTGGCCGGGGAGAGTCTGGTTCCCACTGCTGCGCAGTCTCTGCTGCAGCCCACCTTGGCGTCTCCCCGACAGGAAGGACCTTCTGTCTCAGCTCAAGGGTCAGATCTGGCGTCCCGACTCTCACCGCCTTCAGCTCTGGGTTTGGCCTCTGCAGGGCCCAACCCACTGTTGAGCGGCGTTACGGCATCAGTCAGGGAAACTATCCTGAATGCCAGAGCTCCATCCACTCGGGCACAGTATGAGTGCAAATGGAAGCTCTTCTCCCACTGGTGTGTGAGTAAGGCTGAGAATCCGGGGCATTGCCCCGTGGCCACCATTTTGGAGTTCCTGCAGTCCCTTCTGGAGAGTGGATGTTCTCACTCCACTTTGAAGGTGTATATGGCTGCGATCTCTGCCCGACATGTCGGAGTCGATGGCGCCACAGTGGGGCGCCACAGGTTGGTGTCCCTCTTTCTAAGAGGGGCTATACGGCAGCGTCCCCCTAGCACCCCAAGGGCCCCGGCTTGGGACCTGACCCTAGTGCTGAATGCCCTATCATCTCCGCCCTTCGAGCCCCTGGCCCAGGTCGGGCTTAAGTGGCTGTCCCTGAAGGCAGCATTTCTGCTTGCCGTAACCTCAGGGAAGCGAGTCGGAGAGCTTCATGCCCTCTCCGTAAGCAGTACATGCCTGAGGTGGAACTCCGATGACTCGGGCGTTACCCTCTGGCCGAATGTGGCGTTCCTGCCCAAGGTGCTTCCACTAGCCCACTCCAATCGGCCTATCCAGCTGGCACGCTTTAACATTCCACAGGAGAGCGGCACACCTGAGTTGCTGTGCCCTGTGCGTGCCCTGAGGGCGTATATTGATGCTACAGCCGGTATACGGCAGTCAGAGCAGCTCTTCGTTTGCCATGGCGGCACTAAGAAGGCCACAGCCTCGCCGCGTCCCGCCGTCTCAGGGAGGAGAAATCGGCGGAGCTGCAGCTGAGAAAAGATTGAGTGTGTGTGTGAGGAAGTCTTCGTTACGTCACTTGGTTCCCGGAAGAAACAAATGGAAAAAGAGAAATGTCCAAGGAGGCGTTCTGGGGCAGCACAGACAGGTCTTCTCTGTGTTAGAGTTGTACTCGCTACAGGGTGTACTTTGAGGGTTTGTGACTCTGCAGACCGTTACATGCAGAACAAGCTTCATAACACAAGGGGACGGGTAATAACCAGAAAAGCACGACATGGGACCTTTAATAATCAGTAGGCTAGGGTTTTCCCCTTTTCTCTGTTACTTTTTTAGACGAAGTAAATGTGTTTCTCCTACATTTTAAATTGTCTGCCGTGCGAAACAACCTTTCTAAAAGCGTCCTCATTATTTAGTGAACGTTTCTTGATCCATTTTAAACCGTAGTGGGGACAAGATCCACCAAAAGCAGCTCAAAGTACTGCAGCCATTCACACCATCTTATCATAGTAGATATCTTAACAAATGAATCACTACCAGGCCTTGAGATCCAGGAGGTTTGAGTCTTGTGTTTCCCTGCAGATGGAGACTTCTCCTCTCTGTTGTCTGGCGGCGAGGTGGAGGATCAGCTCCGGACGGTTCATGATCAGACGGAGGAAACCAGACGGCTGCTGCAGACGATCCAGCCTCCATCTCCTGTTCACCCTTTACAGCCTCCACACAAACACTGAGAGACGAGCACTGAGAGCAGCACTGAAGAAGAAGCAGCTTTTCTCCATGTTTCAAAGTGTTTATTAGTTTTTATGCTTACAGTCAACAACAAATTAAGTGAAAAACAAGGCAGAGAAGCGGCATAGTATCAACTCTTAACACGTGATAGTTACAAGCAATCGGATATTTAGGATTGGATACATTTGTTTTTTATATATGCTTTTCTTATAATAAACTCTCTTAAACTTCTACGCCTCCAAACGTTGCTTTGTAAAGCGAATGCGCGCGATATCAAACAGAGAAGACTGTTAGTGCAATAAAGAATCCGTGCATCGAGTTCTCTAAAACAACACTCACTAAAACTGAAGCAAAGTCTTTGGAAACTAAGTTCCTTAGCAGCTTTGAAATATGTGATTGCTATACGTCACAAAATCAACAGGTAGGAGAGGAATTTACACGGGTACAATTTAACTCTTGTGTGCTAACTTCATAGCACTAATCTAAAAGTGGAAAACTAAGGAAGGAAAAGTACTTGGACACATCAGGAATAAGCAAAAAGCATATGGCTAACATGATTGTAAGAAGAGCTATTCCTATTACTTCACACTCTCCATCGTCTCCACTGTCTACATGGTTATTACTGTATATGTTCTGCACTGAAAGGAAGCAGTAAAGAACTTGCCCAGTATTTGTGCCACTGGTTACACACACAGAGAAAAAGTGAAGCTGACGTCTCAGTGAGAGGCGAGGCTGGAATCTTGCATGCTCACGCTTACATTTCAGTGTGCAGAAACATGGCTGAGCTGCAGGAACTCACGGAGAAAACACAGCTCTCCAATCAAGTGTGTGAACGTCTGTGCAGCTGCTCAGATGACCTCTGCAGGGACACACACAGAAACATTATTTTCAAAGTTTCAGAGCAGCTTAAGAGATAAGAACATGTATGATCCATGTTGAGACTTTCCATTAGGGGGACATGCAGGGAAAGGAGAGGCTGTCCACACACCATGGAGCTTTATTACTTTGAACACTGTCAGGTGTTGTTACATTACATTACATTGCATTTAGCTGACGCTTTTATCCAAAGCGACTTACAATAAGTACATTCGACCAGGAAGACACAACCTTGAAGAAAACAGAATCATATAAGTATATCAGGTTTCATAGAGCCAAACATTTCAAGTGCTACTCAACTGGCTTTAGGTAATCCAGTCCTTTATTGGTATAAAAGTGCTTCGTTAATAGTTCTATCGCTCGAAGTGGAGTCGAAAGAGATGAGTTTTCAGTTTGCGCCGGAAGATGTGCAAGCTATCTGCCGTCCTGATGTCAATGGGGAGCTCATTCCACCATCTTGGAGCCAGGATAGCAAACCCACGTGTTTTCGCCGATGGGAACTTGGGTCCCCCTCGCAGCGAGGGCGCAACGAGTCGTTTGGCTGATGCAGAGCGTAGTGCACGCGCTGGGGTGTACGGTTTAACCATGTCCTGGATGTAGGAAGGGCCAGATCCATTCGCAGCACGGTAAGCAAGTACCAGTGTCTTGAAGTGGATTCTAGCAGTTACCGGAAGCCAGTGAAGGGAGCGGAGGAGCGGAGTGGTGTGGGAGAATTTAGGAAGGTTGAAAACCAGACGAGCCGCTGCATTCTGGATGAGCTGCAGAGGTCGGATGGCACATGCAGGTAGACCAGCCAGGAGGGAGTTGCAGTAGTCTAGGCGTGAGATGACGAGAGCCTGGACCAGAACCTGAGTCGCTTTCTGAGTCAGCTGGGGACGTATCTTCCTGATGTTGTAAAGCGTGTATCTGCAGCAGCGGGTTGTAGCAGCGATGTTTGCAGTGAAGGACAGGTTGTTATCTAGGGTCACACCCAGATTCCTTGCAGTCTGAGTCGGGGAAACAACTGAGGTGCCGATGTTGATTAGTTCAGGTCAAGAGTTGGACAATCTTTTCCCGGGAGGAAGAGCAGCTCAGTCTTGTCAAGGTTGAGCTTGAGGTGGTGAGCAGACATCCACTGAGAGATGTCAGCTAGACAAGCAGAGATGCGTGCGACGACCTGGGTCTCTGAGCGAGGAAAGGACAGAATTAATTGGGTGTCGTCAGCGTAGCAGTGGTAAGAAAAACCATGCGGGCTAATGACTGATCCGAGCGAGTTTGTGTACAAGGAGAAGAGGAGGGGACCAAGAACAGAGCCCTGAGGGACCCCCGTAGTTAATTGACAAGGGTCGGACTCAGACCCTCTCCAAGTCACCCTGTAGGTACGGTCTTTCAGGTATGAGGTGAGGAGGGAAAGTGCAGAGCCTGAAACTCCAAGTTTTTGGAGAGTGCGAAGGAGGATCTGATGATTCACCGTGTCGAATGCAGCAGACAGGTCCAACAGGATGATGACAGAGGAGAGGGATGCAGTTTTGGCAGTGTGCAGTTCCTCCGTGACAGCAATGAGAGCAGTTTCTGTGGAGTGACCTGCCTTGAAACCAGACTGGTGCGGATCCAGAAGGTTGTTCTGATTGAGATAACAGGAGAGTTGTTTAAAGACAGCGCGTTCAAGTGTTTTAGACAGGAACGGGAGGAGAGAGACAGGCCTGTAGTTCATAACATCATACGGGTTGAGAGTGGGTTTCTTTAGGAGAGGGTTTACTCTTGCCTCCTTGAGACTGTTTGGAAAGTGACCAGAAGTTAGAGAAGTGTTGATGAAATGGGTGAGAAACGGTAGAATATCAGGAGCGATAGTCTGAAGGAGGTTTGAAGGGATAGGGTCCAGAGGACAGGTGGTAGGGCGGGCAGAGGTAATGAGGGTAAGAACCTCACTTGGAGAGAGAGGGGAAAAGGAGGTTAGTGTGTTGGTGGAAGGAAGGTCTGGTGACCCAGCGGTGAGTAAAGGTGAGTCAGAAAAAGAAGAGCGAATATCATTAACCTTTTTTTCAAAGTGGGTAACAAAGTCGCTTGACAGAAGTGAGGAGGGGGGGAGGAGCTTTTGGAGGGTCCAAGAGGGTGGAGAAGATGGAAAATAGTTTTTTAGGATTGGAATAGGAAGATTGGATCTTATCTTGAAAGAAAGTGCTTTTTGCCTGAGAGATCGAAGCAGAGAAAGAGGAGAGGAGAGCTTGATAGGTTAGGAGGTCGTCACGGTGTTTGGATTTCCACCATTTCCGCTCTGCTGCCCTAAGGACGGTTCTATTAGCACGCAGTGCATCATTTAGCCAGGGAGCCGGAGGGGACTGACGAGCCTGCCGAGATGTCAGAGGACAGAGCGAGTCCAGAGTGGATGAGAGAGTAGAGAGGAGAGTTTCTGCAGCAGAGTTTGGAGGCAGTAGTTTGAACGAATCAGAGGAAGGGAGGGCTGAGAGCACCGACGAGGCAAAGGTAGAGGGAGAGAGGGAGCGAAGGTTACGGCGGACAAGTGTAGGATGGGAAGAGATTAGTTTGTTATGTTTGGAAAGGGGTAGAGAGAATGAAATGAAGAAGTGATCGGATGTGTGGAGCGGGTTTACAGAGAGGTTAGAAGTAGCGCAGTTCCTTGAGAATATGAGATCAAGGACATTGCCAGCTTTATGAGTCGGTGGGGACGGAGAGAGTGAGAAAGCAAAGGCGGTTAACAGAGATGTTAGTTCGTCTATCTTCCCCATCTGGAGGTTGAAGTCTCCGAGAAGTACAGCGGGAGGGCCAGTTTCAGGGATGTGTGAGAGGAGATGATCTAATTCCTCCAAGAAGTCCCCCAAGGCGCCTGGTGGACGGTAGAGAACAACAATGGTTAACTGTATAGGATGGGTTACTGTGACGGCATGGAACTCAAAGGTGGAAGGAGTAAAGTTAGGTAGCTTGAAGAGGGAAAAGCTCCATTTGGGAGAGAGCAGGAGACCAGTGCCACCTCCTCTGCCAGTGGGTCTGGGTGTATGGGAGAAGGAATATGCAGTGGAGAGAGCTGCTGGGGTGGATGTGTTGAATGGAGTAATCCAGGTCTCAGTGAGAGCAAGGAAATCCAGAGACTGCAGGGAGGTGTAGCCAGAGATGAAGTCAGCCTTAGGAACAGCTGACTGGCAATTCCACAGGCCACCTGAAACTAGATGTTGGATCTCAGTGGAGCATGTGGGATAGACGAGAGCAGGCCGGTTATAGCGTTTAGGAGATACACGGGGCCAGTGATAATTGCGAGAAGACACATGAACAGGAATGGAGAAAATACACATGATTATAGCATGAGGGGCTAAACAACAAAAGTAAAAATTAAAAACACCAACGATACTTAGCTCAATCAAAGTAGGATTTGCCTCCTCTTTGCCTCCCTCGTGACTCCTGTAGGACTCTAATGTTGTGTGACGAAGACTTGGTAAGATAACATTTCGCATTAATAATAACTTGGAAGAAAACGTACTGATATTTTTGTCTTGTTTTGTCCCTATTTTAGTCGTTTAGCAATTTCTCTCCTTAGACTTTGCGTCTCTTTGAGGTTAAAACGTACTCGTTCATTTGACAAGAGTTGTTAACTACGGAGGAGCATAAGGGTCACGTGTGAATATGTTGGTACGATCTGACCAATAGTGAACTTTTTGTATTAGTTCTGCGATTAAAGTCTTATAAAAATGAAATCACATGTTGCCCTAATCCTCTAATTAATGATGGTGTTGAAACAAATGGACAACTGTTTGAATCAAGTCGTTAGCGGACCGGTTGAGATGCAATTTGGATGGAATGAATCTGCCGTGACGCTGTCATTTACTCTCAATAAACCCTTGTTCAAGTTGGACATGTCCCTGGGGGTCTTCACTAAGTGTTATGGAGTCAAAATACCCTGCAGACTGCAAGTGTCCTAGGCTCTTTGTATGTTGGATAAACTGACATTACATGCTTTTGGCCAGGGGTGTCAAACTCTACTTCACCGTGGGCGACATTAGCATTATGGTTGCACTCAATGGGCCGGTTGTTGTTACTTTAAGACTATAAATATATATCAAATAATATTATATGACATGATTGTTTCTGCATTGGATTATTATCGAATAGGGTAATAACTTCATAATGAACTACGTCTGAAAGCAGAAGTCTAGGGCAAATAATTGCAAGTCTCTGCAGTGCTCATGTCACAAAATGAGATGCATTGTGGGACATATAGTTTATGGGCAACGTGCTTCTGTAAAGCGGCATTTAACCGTATAAATTATATTCTTTCAGAGCTCTTACGGGCCACATAAAATGGGCCTTGAGTTTGACACCGCTGCTTTTGGCTGACAATCACCAGAGTGTTAATATCCAGTTCT